TGTTTACATTGTCTCTGTTATCATTGTTTACCGTTGGGATCTTGTTTGGTCTATGTTACTTCCGAACATGCGCAGTATAACGTAAACACACCGTGATGGCTGATTCAGAGGATGCACCGCTGCTCGTCCCTCGAACAGAAGTCGTTACTCCCGGGACAGCACGATCGGGACGACCGCGGTCCCGATGTAGCTTGAGTTTAAATGAAGGTGATGTGCAAAATTATATCGATGGAACACAGAGCAATACCAGGTAAATTGGCCATATTGTAGCAGAAGCTAACGTACGAGACTCATTTGTCAATACATGTACACCCATACTATATATCACTTATATATTATTGGTGTGTATTGACATTTACATTTACGGCGATACTGCAAAGGGGCGTCGAACAGCATGTACTTGCAGGTGGACTTGTGTGGTGTGGCTTTCACATAAGTTCGTTAAAAACAGATTAAAAATTTAAAACTATTTACACGATCCACATTCACTCTGCAAGATAAGGGAATCTGCTTTTTATCTCAGAAGGGACTTCACAGTCAGCATCCCATCTGTAAAAACTACAAGGTACGGGCAGAAATCCTTCTCGTTTGAGGCGGCCCGGGTGTGGAACAGTCTTCCGAATGAATTGCGGAGATGTGAATACTTCCCAGAATTCCGGAGGCTGGTCCACACCTGGGATGGTCCCATCTGTACATGTTCCTTCTGTACAAAGACTACCTATGGTGGTTCATTTTCAGAAAATGTTTAAATTATAAGTAATTTGTTTTTGAAAATAGAATGCTATATTCGCAGTGAAATTTTGTCAATTTTTCGGCTGTGATAAGGACCCAAATTGGTACACTACATCACAGGCTATGAAAATTGTTTTTATTTCTACTAGTTGATCTGCCGATTGGAACAAAATATATTGCTTTAATAAATACCATACTGAACTACAATTGTATATATAAACTTTTATATTATCCGGTTATAAGGAACAGAAATCAACATTTAAACATGCTTATATTTAACCCTTAAAATGCTCTAAAATTTCGTCGGCGTTCGTCGTTTTTACTGGTTTTCTGACATGTTTACTTTGAAGTCATCGTGTACTCTTAAAATATTCCTGAAAACAAAACTGTTCGCTGGAAATGCTGATAAGTATCTGTCTTGTTATATTGTCAAAGGAAAATGCTCAAATTTAATTTTTAAGTACAATTTGAACCATTTTCTGACCGTGTACCAATTGTGGTAGCGTGACGTTACCTGTGGTCGGGCTAACTGGCTCCCGATATGACAGTTCGATATATGAGTACGGTAGCAAACAGTATGGATAATGAGCTAACTTTTGACAGGAATGAATTAACAGACTGAATTGGCAAACGTACTGTTTGATTAATTTCCGGCCCAGTGAAGATAATTGATTCTTGCATACTAGTCCGAGATATCCGCATTTCCGGCGGTGCTGGAAAATTCTATCTGACCCACGGGTCTAGTTCGCTTACACCACGCGCAGACTGGCGGGGGAATTATAGTGACCTTTCAGGGTCACGCTATTGTTTGTGACATCAATTTATGACATTTTGGGTTCATTGACGTCATTAGCAATTGCATCCAGGTTTCATATGCAAATGAGAAATGTGCGGACAGTTTACAACTTAACTGGAAAAGCAGCTGTTTTTACGGGTTTTAGGTAATAAGCAAGAAATAGAATCCATCCCTGATGTGAGGTAAGGATAAGGTAATTCAAACCCTCGGGATAAAATATTGAGCAAAAGACCCTCACCAAAGATTCAGGTCTCCTGCTCAATATTTTTATCCCTTGGGTTTAAAATTGGTTTAAAGATGCTAATATACCAATAAAACATTATATGAACTTTATTTACTGCCACTTATGGTTACAATCACAGTTGCAGTTTGTAAATAATGACGAAAATGTAACACTCTTAATTGATGCACCATGCAACGTTATTGATTTCATTTTTTGTATGTGATTTTTCATAATCCTATTATTTCACAACTTACGGTAGTTTGGAAAAGAAATTCATTCAGAACGACCCTTGACTCTTAAATATTTCAAAGATATGCCATGTCCTGCTAAGTATTTTTTTCATCTCCAAGTATAAGCCAAAACTGGAAGGGGGGTCCCGATTTGGGTACAGCTACACCTGTTTCGCAATTACGTAACCATGACTATATTTCCTGTTCTATTTATAGTACCACGCGCCAGAAATATCAACTTGTTATCAAAATGAACCGATAAGGATATCTATTTAGGAAAAGTGAACAAAAATTATTGGGATCGGTACTATGGTATAACATACATCAATATTTCACTAAAAAGTGTCCTGATTTGGATACTGTCATGTTAGAGAGGTATATGTGCTCTTGTTCAGCTTTGGAAAGAGGAATCAATCAGAGACAGTACAAGAGGAAACTTGAAAAATAAATGTTCCCCTGTCAGTCAACAAAATCCCTGGGGAGAACCTATTTCATATTTCGTAAGGTCAAACCCTTCAACGATATTCCAGCGGAATTTTTATTACTGCTTCAAATATCAACACTTTTACGTTAAGCTTTGGCAGAATGACGAACTTCAAATATCTACACTTTTAGGTTAAACTTTTGCAGAATGACGAACTTCAAATATCAGCACTTTTACGTTAAACTTTGGCAGAATGACGAACTTCAAACATCAACACTTTTACGCTAAACTTTGGCAGAATGACGAACTTCAAACATCAACACTTTTATGTTAAACTTTTGCAGAATGACGAACTTCAAATATCAGCACTTTTGCGTTAAACTTTAGCAGAATGACGAACTTCAAATATCAGCACTTTTGCGTTAAACTTTAGCAGAATGACGAACTTCAAATATCAACACTTTTACGTTAGACTTTGGCAGAATGACGAACTTCAAAAATCAACACTTTTACGTTAAACTTTGGCAGAATAACGAACTTTAAACATCAACACTTTTACGTTAAACTTTGGTAGAATGACGAACTTCAAACATCAACACTCTTACGTTAAACTTTGGCAGAATGACGTACTTCAAACATCAACACTTTTACGTCAAGCTTTTGCAGAATGACGAACTTCAAACATCAACACTTTTACGTTAAACTTTGGCAGAATGACGAACTTCAAACAAAAACACTTTTACGTTAAACTTTAGCAGAATGACGAACTTCAAATATCAACACTTTTACGTTAAACTTTGGCAGAATGACGAACTTCAAACATCAACACTTTTACGTTAAACTTTGGCAGAATGAAGAACTTTATTACAACTATAGGGCAAACATAATTAACAATGAACTTCAAATTTATATTAAACCATTGTTTAATTTTTGAGTCCAGTGTAGAAGAGCTCTATCGACTCCTGTTTTGGAAACTAAATTTAACTTTAGAAAGAATAGAAAGTTGATCAGTGATGGAATTCCGATATGGATTTATATTAGCAAGTTAACATTGGTGACCAAGTTAATAAGCTTAGAGACACTTTCAGTCTTTGTCTAACATATTTCCTGAAGAGGATGCAGAGATTTGCGTATTGTTATATGAGATCTTGTCAAGAAAGAGTACAGATTAGAAAAACTGATTTATTTGTAATTCTTTAAGAAATATATTTCCTTAATGGACCTTGTGATCTCAAGCAACAAACCAAAGGCCATTTGACCATATTTGTGAAAACCTCTTTCCCCACCCCACCCCACCCCACCTCCAGTCCATATTTCTTTTTTTTGTGACCAAGCCAAGGTTTTTGCTAGGTGTTTATAGGGTCTGGTAAAGGGACCTATTTCCAATTGAATGATTAAAAAGCATGTTTATACAAATTTCCAGTCGTTATATGTGCAACGTTCAAAGTATTACCATCCATGAAGGAGCATTCAAATTACATACCTGGTAAATAACGAAATTTTGAAACTGAATAAACTAAAATACTCAAAATGAATGTGTGACATTATTGCTATACATTTTACTGCAAGAAACAATCTGCGAAAATACTCCAGACAGACTTTAGAGTATTGGAAGAAGAACAAGTAGAGGAATGTTTAATTTTTTTCAAAAATTATGATATTTACCCAAACCTGTACATGTGTTGAAATTTCCCAATTTTTGTCAAATGTCGATGATATTTTCCCAATTCCTGCTAAGGGGCCCTCTCCCAAAATACTTGGCAAAAACCCTGCAAGCAGTTTGTTTTTCCTATTTATCACATAATGTTCTGTGTTATGAACATACCCATGTCATATTTTTTGTGTGTGTATTAATTTTAACCCATGTAATATGACCTATCAGCCCTGTTTCAATTGTGACGTCACGCCTAGGACAAGTACATGACGTCGCAGACTTACGCACTGGAGTCAAAATGGCGGCTTTTTACATATCAAGGTTGCATGAAAATTGTCGTTTAACCTGAATAAATGCCACAAATCTTGATTATGTGATAAAAACGATCTTGCACTCTTTTTCATTTCGCTCGATTAATTGAAAAATTCTTAGACTTGTTTCATAAATCTCATATGAAATAGAAACTCATGTAAGATCCTATATATATATATATATATCGGTCATATACGCAGGTAAATCTACAGTATCATTGAGGAGCCAGGACTCCGGATCAGAACCTAAAACAGTTTGGATAATTGCTTTTAACAAAAAATCTTTTAAATCCATAAATGTTCCCAAAACAGTTTATTGTTTTAAAATTGTATAACATGCATATATATATAGGATTATTACGACCAAAGTAAGTTTGGTTTATGATTTTACGACCTTCAACCAATTGAATCACTGGAAAGGGATGCCACAAGTTCTAGTCCATGTACAGTATATCTCTGACCTCTTCCTGGCTGCCCCCCAATTATGTCTGTTTGTGAAATTCTCTGGAACACCATGGAGGACTTGAGCTACTGTGAATACACATCATATTGCTGTATTTTACACTGGAATTATTACTTAATGCTTATTATTTAATATATGTGTGACAGTAATGTTTTATTTCATTTCAGGGACAGTGCCGACCAGTTTCCAGGAGAAATCGGTCTTAAACGTAGGTGGAATCTGTACAAATATGTCACATACAAATGTACCTTTCTAGTACATGTAGATATAGGGCAAATATATGTATGGTCAAATTAATGTGCAAATAGATCAAGTTACTGTATCAAACACTGCAGAAATAGGCCAATTTCCTGTTAGCAGTAAAATATGTTAAATTTTCATTTACTCTAGAAATTTAAATATGTTAAAGGGGCTGGTCGGGGAAAAAATTACAAAATAAATGGGTCTAAATGCGTTTTCTGGCCTTCCAAAAGTTATACTACGACAATGTCCAGTTTTGACCACTGAAATCTCGGGGAAGCCCCGCGTAAATTTAGCGCATATCTATTTATATGTGTCACGTGGTTGTTTTGAAAGTGAGGCAGTGAAGATAACAACAATAGCAAGCCGTCATGTGCCATGTCGGACTCAACTAGCGGACAAGACAGCAATACTATACGTAAATAATTGTTTTCAAAGGTCATGTATGATGCAAGTGTAGTATTCCTACCTATATGTTGTTGTTATATATAAACGGTATTGTTACCTCGTGCCAGTCATGACTTTTGCATGCATCTTTTTCTTTCGCCGCGATATTTACATTTGGCCTTGTTGATGATGCGCGTGCGGTAAAATTACATCAATGATCTGGGTCAATTGAGAGTTTTAGACTGTCAGGTGACGATTTAGGATTTCTTTAATATAATTATATTTTTAACTCTTAGGGAGTGAATTTCAGCAAAATTTGTATCGGTATATTTCATAAGAAGGTATTTTAAACATGTGTATGCCATTTTAGCAAAATATGATTTTTTCCCCTGACCAGCCCCTTTAAATTAAATCAAAGCATTATACTCGATCTTGAACCAACAACCCAGTAGTGAAGGGCTTGTGATCATAGCTGGTCGGCCACCGCTGCCCCTCTAATGATTGTTTTGAGTCGTGAAGTACCTGAGGGGAATCAACTTCTGTCACATTAACAAATATAGTAGCAAACATCAAGGTCCCGTATTCATAAAACAGTTCTTATGCTCAAATTCAGACTCTGTGCTCAAGCTCAATTTCTTGTTCCGCTGATAAATAAATGGAACAGAGGTCATTATTTTTTCAATGCCTCCGCCAGGAGTCAAACCCAGGACCTCCGGCTTACTAGTCTTACGCTCTACCGAATGAGCTAAAGAGAAATTCTCTTCAGCCGAGACGGTAGGAAGCAACTAGTATTTTACCAGGGTGACATAAATTTGAAATTAATATTTGGTCTATGATTTGGAAGAATTTTGGATAGACTTCAGTCTGAATGTTGTCCCAAATATAGCACATATAATTTTTATCGCTTCGCATGACTTCAGCGAGTTACAAGAAAGTTTGGGTTGAGCACAGAATCAATGCTTGAGCATGAAAATGGTTTCATGAATACGGGCCCTGAACTTCAAAGAGGTGGTTTTAAAATTTTACATACCGGTATGTAGATTGGCTCTGTTTAATCAGGAATCCCTATGTGTCTTATGTTCCAATTAAGTAATGGTATTTGCCTAGCTTTATAGCCGGATACAGGCTGCTTCTCGGAGGAAAAAAATACTTTTTTACTCAAAAAGAAAGAAAAAAAATGACTAGATTTTTTTACAGCCAAATGCAGACTGCTTCTCCTAGGAAAATGCTTTATTTACCCAAAGTTAAACAAAAAAAAGAGGGATATCTTACTAATTTCAATAAAAATAAAGCAATATTTTCCAAATTTGTGTAGGAATAGGATGAGGTAACTAGGTAGGAAATACTCTGCAATACACTGTATTCAATATCAAAGCTTGCTCCAGACAAACTGGGTTTCCACTTTATACTAATTCTGTCATCACTATTATAATACTTTAAGTCAATATACTTCGCTCGGTGTTGGTAATTTTGATCTTTTATGTGAATATTATAGACTTCACAGGCAGACTGTACTCTTACAGTTGTTACATATAATAACCTTTCATAATCAGCCACAGTATAGATCTATTGATATGTTATGTTTCTGCATTTATATGCGATTCACAACAATGGAGTAAATTGAAAAAGGAGAAAATTAGTCTGTGGAAAATGTTATAAATTTTCTGCTGCCTGATCATGGAATAGACTTTCTATTGACTAGAGCATCTGTCATTGTGTGCTATTAACCCTTTCACCACCATAGACCATAATGGACTCATCCCAATAAATGCATGGTAGAGTCCACTTAAGTTACCTGGGGTTGAAAGGGTTAAATGTGTACATATTGTAGCAAGAATGTTATTTAAAATACTTTTGACGTTTCTGAATTCAGTAATACATGTTTAATTCAAAGATTCTTGGATAGCACATATCTAAATCCCATTGATGTCAGTTAATGAAACGAAACAGAAATATACATATGTATAGAGTACAATTTTTTGTTATTTTTCATTGAACAGTTGGCCATTGTCATGCCAACAAGATGAGGGCGGGCCTGGACAAAACGGCTAGACGCAAATTGTTACTGGCTAGCGGTCTGTGTCTGTTTTTCATGACTGCGGAATTTATTGGCAAGTGGATTTCTTGTGTTTCCAGATTATGTCCTTATTGAGTGTAATTTGAAGGAGAGTGCCAATTTCTTACGCAATTATTAAATACCCCTGCTCCCTACTTAGTGAACTTTGTCAATGTGTCCGTGTGTGACTGTGTGACTGTGTGGGTGTGCCAGTACGTGAAATCATGCGTCCAAAGTGAGATACACAAAGTGATGTAGTGGGGAAAAATACAAAGCGAAGTAGGGGATAAAAATACAAAGCGATGTAGGGGATGAAAATACAAAGCGATGTAGGGGATGAAAATACAAAAGCAATGTAGGGGATAAAAATACCTCAATATTCTTTAATAACTCACTCCATACTTCAGTTATTTACCTCACAATACAGCGCAAACCAATACAGGCATTCATGCTTGCTCACGCATGGTGTGTACATGGATGCATTTGAATGCAGTTGCTAGAGCAGATACTGTTACATCATTGAATTTTCTATTCATTTCACAATGTGTAAATGCAAGGGGATTTGTATCACTTGTGATGACTTGTTTAAATATGTTATAGAAATTTTAATCATGGTTATGTTATTAGCTATCTCTCAGTAAGCTATTATTTAATCATTTTTCTTATTCAACTCTGCACAAGCGAGAAAACACAAATTTCTAAGATGTAACAAAAAACAAATTCTCATTCATATAGAATACCCTAAAATCTGGATAATAAGTCCGCTTTGAAAATAAGCCATGGATTCCTTGCTGTCAAATATATCTCAAAAGTAAGCTGGTTTTGAAAAAATACCAGCATTGAAAATATGCATTGGATCCTTACAATAAGCCTTATTTTTTTTCTCTTAAAAACGAAATATCAAACCATGCCCTTTTTTTCTAAGAGATTTTAGAATCATTGCCATTGTAAAATGTTTACACTGTGATCAGTTTATATAGTCACTACATCCAAGAATTTCCAATTTTACTGGGATATGGCACAGGGACATCTTATAACAAGACGGGATATCATGACACTAGTTAATAGGGGTGTCACAATACACAAAGAGTGTATCACGATATATTGCAATACAGAATGAATATATTGTGATACGTATCCCTATATAATTATTGTCATAGGAAGGATGTGCTCAATTTTATGATAGGTTGTCAGAATGTTATCAAACTTCGTAATATATAATATGGATTACATAGATTTAAGATTATTGTTAAACCAATCATCGATTACAAAATTTTAACTATTAAAAGCCTGCTTTATGCTTATTGGCATATGTTAGAATTTAAAACACCAAGCAGATACATATAAATATGCTCTTGAAAAATAATGCGATACAGCAATATTTCATCTCTGTATTGTGGTACGATACGATATACCTGTGTATTGTGATATACCTGTTTACCGATATATTGTCACAACCCCTATTAATTAGAATGTCCTTTAGTGGGTCACTGTGACACCGAGAACATTTCTCAAAAAAAAAGAAAAACAGCTGCAGGAATAAAATGTTGATGTAATTATCTCCCTTTGATTTTTGCTAGGTGGCATACTTGCTCACAGTCTGGCTATCCTATCCGATGCTGCACATATGCTCACCGACTTGGCAAGCTTCCTTATCAGCCTGTTTGCCATTTTTCTTGCCTCACGACCCGCTACGAAGAAATTAAGCTTTGGCTGGTACAGAGCTGGTACGTATCGCAACATTTCAGTACAGCGATGAGAGATTCACGGAAAAGAGTTGGAAGAAGACGTCGTGGAGACTTACCAGTTAACTCATTCACCCCTGAAGACACATTTGAACCCTTCCAATTCAAAGGTTGGAATAGTTCATTATGAAACTTCAGGGGTGAATGAGTTAAATGAGTGTTTAGGTTGACTAATTTTGCCTCTTAGCTCATTCACCCCTACATATTTTAACTGAACTAGCCCAGTCTTTGATTTGGTAAGGTTCAATGTGACTTTAGGGGTGAATGGGTTAAGTTGATGCTCCATCTAGACATTTTGGATGTAAAGTTTGGACCCTGAATATAATCTTGGTGAGGTTTTGCTTTATAATCTGTGATATAATATCTATAGACAATGTACAAAGGCTAAGGGTAGGTAATCCATTGTGTAATGATTGTGTTATATTGATCCGGCAAACCAAAACGAGATATTTGTGATGAGTTTCATCAATCCTTTATAAAATAAAATCTAAATTATGATCCCTTTATGAGAAAGCATGTTGTAATTTTTTTTGCGGTTATTGCAAAAAGTGGGTTTTTTTCAGGTCATTTTTGAACTTTAAAATACTGCCATCCTAGCTCTTTATTAACCCTTTTACCACTGTAGACCATAATGGACTCATCCAGATCAATGCATAGTAGAGTCTACTAAAGTTACATAGGGGTGAAAGTCTCCATTGTGAAGTCATGGTATAATCTGGAAGTTTGTGACCTACCCGGTAATTTTATGTCATCACAATAGATAAGAACTATATACGTGAATATTGAAAAAATAACATCATGGTCTTGAGGTACATGGCAGTCATGTGATAAATACAATATACGGTGGTCAGGTGGTGCAGTTGATAGCAGGGCTGCAACGATAAGTTCAAAATGATACATATCTCGATATTGTGGTTACAATACATATCACGATACATGTAGCAACAGTGGAAAGAAAGAGAAAAGATAAATTTCGTTTATTTCGTGGATAACAAAATTCCACGAATTGAAATCCCCACGAAAACATAAATTTGGTATGAAATAGATAGGGGAAAATCAGAAATCAGCGAAATATAATGTCCTTGAAACAGGCTAGTATATGAAAACCACGAAATTTCAACTTCACAAAAATAAATGATTCTACAGTAATTCACGTCTTTCAACCTGCATGCCGAGCTGGAGCTTCTTTCTCCATGTATGTTGGAACAGATATGAATAGACTAAATACGGAAACGACTAAATACGGAAAATATTGAAGGTGTATCATGACCTCCCAAAAATATTGTGTAACGAACTGTGTTTAAAATGTCACGATATATCGTCGCTTTGCAGCCCTAGTTGATAGCACATTCACTTCTCACCGAGGCGGCCGGGGTTTGACTCCCCGATCAGACATAAAAAGGTATCAGGTCAACTGCCCAACCACATGGATTTTCTCCCCCATTAAAACTATCAGAGCACTGATGTCCATGGGGAGATAACACATGCTCAAAATTAAAAACTTAATAATAGAATATTTCCATATACACCGTCGGGGGGAAGTATCTCTTTAAATGGCATCTTTTGAGTTGTTCTTTCAGATGAAATCATTAGATCTTATTAAATAGATATAGTTTAGCAATTTCACTAGTTGAAAATGCTCATTTTTGGGCTGAAAAGTGGGGGCCTCCCTCCAAAATAAGGAGAGTTGGCTAAGTTGAAAAAGCCTGTTTTATAATTGTTTAGCGGAGCTAGAGTGGGTTGATTGTTGGCGACCAGATAGATCAATTGGTAGAGCGTCGGTCTAGAGTTGGGAGGAATCCTGGATTGAAGCGAGATCTGGCCATGCATTTTTCTTCTTCTGTTTATGGTGATGCCTGTGGTCAACCCTTGTTTCAAGCATTTGGTGTATGCTTGGCAAGGGAATACCAAAACCTGGGTTGTAAATAGTTGTGTTGTCGGGGTGAAGAGTTAGAAAAGGAGGGAGGAATGAAGCAGAGCTGGACTGGGTCAATCGTCGGCGACAAGGAAGCTCAATTGGTTAGAGCGGTTGTCTAGAGTTCAGAGGGTCTTGGGTTCGAACCCCGGTCTGGCTGTGCATTTTCTTCTCCTGTTACAAAATTGTAAAGTTGTAAAATTAAATTTAAATACGTGATTGTGTTACAGAGATCCTGGGTGCCCTGATGTCCATTGTAATGCTATGGGTGCTGACCGGAATACTGGCATATATGGGCGTGCAGAGGATAATAAAGAGCGACTATACGATAGAACCTGTCATTATGTTAATTACAGCATCTCTTGGTGTCTGCATAAACATCCTGTAAGTGTAATCATGATTTTTTCTGTTGCAATTCCTTTACGTCTATTTGGCAATAAAAACAAACATTTGTACGTTTCAGGTAATATGACTGAAAAAAATAGGGTAGGTCGGTCAAGATTTATTTTTATTTCGTTATATATTTGGGGGGGAGGGGTTATTTAAGAAATAACAAAATTACTGCTGACGAAGTAGAGAGGGTAAGTATATCGTTGCCTTGCTTGTTCATCCATCAATTTGTTCGCATCTGGTGGACAAGTTATCCCAACACTCTATGGAGTGTGTTTGAGTGAGATGAAATTGTTAGGGTTGGAAGTAAAAACTAGGGTAGGTCAAAACAATTAATACTTATATCTACTGTCTTTGCTGCACTTTCATGTATTTTGAAATGCAAAAAAAATATATGAAACTTAATCATTCAGTTCATTCACTATGTTGTATAATGTGTAGTAGGATGAGGAACAGTGATACAGATAGTGCTGTTGCTCGGGCTCGAACCCGTGACCCTTGGCTCTCCGACCAGATGCTCTATGGCTGAGCCAAAGGGAAATTCCCTACAGCTGATGCTTGCTAGGCAACCTAAACAATGCATATCTTTTACAAATGTACCTGTATATCTGAAATAGTTTGTCAACAAGTGAACAAATAGTTATGTAAAAAATTAGTTTATTGTCAAAAAAAAATAATTGAAATAACATTAGGCCCATAATGAAGTGGAAGCGAGACTAAGGTGTTGCTTTTCCACCGACGAGGGGCGACGGCGTCAACATCAAGTTTTTGCGTTTAAGTTAGTTTTACTGAAAGTATAAGTGCTAGACCAGCCAAACTTGGACCATAGATCGATGCATCTTAGGTAGTACATCTCGGCCCATGCATCAAATGCTGGATGCAGCCTACTTTTCATGGTCCATTGACTTTGTCAACATTTGGTTTTCTTGTTTAAGTTAGTTTCTCTGATATGTGCATTGATGGTCAAAGTAGGGCATAGATGAGACATATCAATCTGAATGGCTTGTGTTATTATGCAGTACACCAAATGTGTTGTTATATAAGACGAATAACTTTTTTGTCTGTCATACAGGATGGGTTTGACATTACATCAACACGGCCACACACACGGAGGAGGAGGGGGAGGTCACTCTCATCATCACGATGACAGTGACACAAAAAACCTGGTGAATTCCTCCGCGGAAGACAGATCGCCTGGATACGGGTCAGTAACAGAGATGGAACAACAAAGCCAGGACGAGCCTCACGAACACTCCTCAAACAATATCAACGTTAGAGCTGCCTTTATACACGTACTAGGGGACCTTTTACAAAGTATAGGTGTACTCATAGCAGCTGTTATTATCTTTTTTAAGGTAAATATTTTTGTCTGAATTCAGTGGCAACACTTTGTGTTTAAAAAATATTCGACACTCATTTTATGTACTATCTATTACAGCATTTTACTCTATAGAAACATTTTTTTTATGTATAAACATTAATTTTGCACAGTTGTTTTCGTGTTCTTAAATATGAACTTTTACTCCATTCAAACGTTACTACATTGTACATGTATATTTTAATTGTTTTTCATGTATAAACCTTTTTATATAAGTTTACATTTTTACTCAGACAGTCATGTCCTTCAAACCTTAACTCCTGAATGTCTCAAACTTTCAATGGGTCAGAAACAACCTGGGTTGTAAATAGTTGTGTCTTCGGGGGCAAAGACTTAGAACAAGGAGGGAGGAATGCAGTGGGGCTGGACTGGATCGATAGAAAAAGGAGGGAGGAAGGCAGTGGGGCTGGACTGGGTCCATAGAAAAAGGAGGGAGGAATGCAGTGGGGCTAGACTGGGTCGATAGAAAAAGGAGGGAGGAATGCAGAGGGGCTGGACTGGGTCGATAGAAAAAGGAGGGGGGAATGCAGTGGGGCTGGACTGGGCCGATAGAAAAAGGAGGGAGGAAGGCAGGGGGGCTGGACTGGGTCGATAGAAAAAGGAGGGGGGAATGCAGTGGGGCTGGACTGGGCCGATAGAAAAAGGAGGGAGGAAGGCAGGGGGGCTGGACTGGATCGATAGAAAAAGGAGGAAGGAATGCAGTGGGGCTGGACTGGGTCAATAGAAAAAGGAGGAAGGAATGCAGTGGGGCTGGACTGGGTCAATAGAAAAAGGAGGAAGGAATGCAGTGGGGCTGGACTGGGTCAATAGAAAAAGGAGGGAGGAATGCAGTGGGGCTGGAGTGGGTCGATAGAAAAAGGAGGGAGGAATGCAGAGGGGCTGGACTGGGTCGATAGAAAAAGGAGGGAGGAATGCAGGGGGGCTGGACTGGGTCGATAGAAAAAGGAGGGAGGAATGCAGGGGGGCTGGACTGGGTCGATAGAAAAAGGAGGGGGGAATGCAGTGGGGCTGGACTGGGCCGATAGAAAAAGGAGGGAGGAAGGCAGGGGGGCTGGACTGGGTCGATAGAAAAAGGAGGGAGGAATGCAGTGGGGCTGGAGTGGGTCGATAGAAAAAGGAGGGAGGAATGCAGAGGGGCTGGACTGGGTCGATAGAAAAAGGAGGGGGGAATGCAGTGGGGCTGGACTGGGCCGATAGAAAAAGGAGGGAGGAAGGCAGGGGGGCTGGACTGGGTCGATAGAAAAAGGAGGGGGGAATGCAGTGGGGCTGGACTGGGCCGATAGAAAAAGGAGGGAGGAAGGCAGGGGGGCTGGACTGGGTCGATAGAAAAAGGAGGGAGGAATGCAGTGGGGCTGGACTGGGTCGATAGAAAAAGGAGGGAGGAATGCAGTAGGGCTGGACTGGGTCGATTGTCGGCGACCACATACCTCAATTGGTAGAGTGTCGGTCTAGAGTTTGGAGGATCCCGGGTTCGAACCCCGGTCTTGCCATGCATTTCTCCTGCCCTGTTACACAAACATTTAATTCTGATGATGGGTGGCCTAGCCAATTAACCTGAAAAAACTTCCATACAAGTGCTACCTTTAACATGGATTTTCCTATAATCTTTAGCTGATTATCGACTCGCCTTTAGTAACATTGTAATCGAAGGTCAACATGGAAGGTCATTATGGTCAGACTATACAAATATTTACTACTGCAAAATGGGAGACTTTCACTCTGTAAAATGTTCACCCAATGCAGATGAAATCCGTTTCCACCCAACGTTAATCTCGCCCTTCACATCTGATTACAATGTTTGTTAATTCGCTTACCACTGTTTACTGTAATGATAAATTTGCTCTTATTACGGAGGGAGAAAAACGTGAAAATTAAACTACGTCACAAATTTCCCCGTACACAGTACAATTACACACTCATTATCTCCAAACATATACTTGAACCAATAACCCCTTCATAAAAATTTAACCATAACATATGCACGTAAAAATTCTTTACTAAATTTTGTATAAACTTCACTTTTCAGCCTGAGTGGAAAATAGCAGATCCGATTTGTACGTTCATCTTCTCGTTTTTGGTGCTGGTCACAACTTTTACCGTAGTTCGAGATTTGTTACGTGTTTTAATGGAAGGTGAGTAAACGACGGGTAGATCGTCTTCTTTCGTACATTGTACACTTTGTTTCTGTATCGTTATTATTCACAGATACAGATTTCTTCTTCTATTCTTTAGTTTATATTTATATTTGCTCTGCAAATTCCTCTATAAGCATTACCATAAGAAATACGTTCATAGGGCTTTGAATGCAATTGGATCAGCGTCAATTTGAAGTGTCTGTCCCGCCTTGATTAACACGAGACAAGCGTTAGAAGCAAACATTTTGGTGACGATGGGTCGTTCCAGGAACCTTGCACTGATGACACAAACATTTAAATATAGAAAATATAAGGGAATACATTTGTTTAACACTTTCACCACTGTAGACCATAATGGACTCATCCAGATCAATGTATGGTAGAGTCTACTAAAGTTACCTAGGGGTGAAAGGGTTAAGTCAATCATAACTAAACAAATTTGAAGGTTAATAAAAGGAATGATTGCAAAATCGGTTCATACCAGCAGGAAATTTAATAATATTCTTTTCAATCCTTATATGAGGGGAGAAACATTTTATATTATCATATACTTTTGATAATTTCTCGCAATCCCATTAGCTGCATTCCATACATGTGACAAGTTAATCCCATTGGCCGCATCCCATACACGTGACAGGTTAATCCCATTGGCCGCATCCCATACACATGACAAGTTAATCCCATTGGCAGCATCCCATACACATGACGAGTTAATCCCATTGGCGGCATCCCATACACACGACAGGTTAATCTCATTGGCAGCATCCCATACACATGACAAGTAAATCCCATTGGCCGCATCCCATAAACATGACAAGTTAATCCCATTGGCAGCATCCCATACACATGACAAGTTAATCCCATTTGCCGCATCCCATACACATGACAAATTAATCCCATTGGTCGCATCCCATACACATGACAAGTTAATCCCATTGGCCGCATCCCATACACGTGACAAGTTAATCCCATTGGCTGCATCCCATACACATGACAAGTTAATCCCATTGGCCGCATCCTATACACATGACAAGTTTATCCCATTGGCAGCATCCCGTACACATGACAAGTTAATCCCGTTGGCCGAATCCCATACACGTGACAAGTCAATCCCATCGACCGCATCCCATACACGGGACAAGTTAATCCCATCGGCTGCATCCCATACACATGACAAATTAATCCCATTGGCCGCATCCCATACACGTGACAAGTTAATCCCATCGGCTGCATCCCATACACGTGACAAATTCTGAAAAACTCATGTAGATGGTTTTCCGATAAAGAGCAGTTTTCGAAATACATCAACTTTTGTACAGACATTGTAATTGTTTTACACTTTCTGTGAAAAAATGAACTGCTAATATCAAATTTGATATCAAATTGTCACCACAATTAAGTGCACGAATAACAATGACATAATTCGTTCTTGAGTTTGAAGAAGGCAACACAGACAAGATTTGTTAGATAGCTACATTATAAGGTAATATGTGGAACTTATAACTTAACAAAGCCATTGTTTACTGGATTTTTGCACAGCATACGTTTTGTCGAATTCTCAGACTACAATCATGCCTCAGATGACAGTGAGGTCCTGTGGCCCAAAGGAAACTTGCTGTCCTCAAATCAAATCAAGCATCCTCAATACTCTAGAGTTACGCTCTCTGCACCCATGGAATATGTCATGGCAAAATGGAAGGCACACAGCTAGCTATTTGATTGGTTTCGGGTAAAACAAAAACAGACCAATCGCTAGGCTGAAACCTGTCCTTTGAAGATTGCTTTGGATACAGAGAGCAACACCTGACATCAAAGTTAGTCAATTTTACGGTTATACGTTATGATGAATCCTTTAAAGTACATCAAAGGATCAGACAACTTCTTGTATGATCCAAAAGGTGTCGCAAAATGAGACTTCGATTTTGTAATGACATATTCAAGGAATGCAGCAAGCATAAGTGAGTGGAACCCCTGGAGTATCAAGAATGCAAAGTCAACAGCTGTATATCCTGTTACAACTCAAAATAGACATTCATTAACATTTACATTTCAATGTAACATATGTTGACAGGTACGCCACGAGGACAGACATCGAAAATTTACATTTCAGTGTAACAAATGTTGACAGGTACACCACGAGGAATGGACATAGAAAATTTACATTTCAGTGTAACATATGTTGACAGGTACGCCACGAGGAATGGACATAGAAAATGTACAGTCAAGATTATACAAATTACCCGGTGTTAAAGATATCCATGACCTACGCGTCTGGTCACTCTCAATGGACAAACTGGCCCTCTCGGTCCATTTGGCTGTCAGTAAGTAACTTGTTACTGTAACTTCAACATCATAAACAGTGTTTTCTCCAGGTTTGAAAAAAATGGGGGCATTGCAGTAGTGTGATGTAGGCAGAACATAGAAATTTAAGGGGAGGAGGGGGATGTACACAATCCCCCCTTTTGGAGAAAACACTGCATTTAATTGAGTATCACAAGCATGTTTGGTCCAACATCATCTGATGGTGGGCTGTTCAAATTTGCTGTCCTCCGTCTGTCCATAACTCATTCACCCCTGAAGACACATGTGAACTCTTCCAAATCAAAGGTTGGAATAGGCCATTATGAAGTTTCAGGGGTGAATGAGTTGTTATCCCCATTTCTGAATTAGGTATTGACAGATCTTTTCAAATTTCAAATGAAGGTCTGCTATTGTGCATGTTTAATTTGGAGACTGATCGGAAGAACAAAATTGCCACCAGGTAGCCATCTTGGATTTTTAGCTAAGGCTTTAGCTGCTAGCTATTGGTATTACAGTACTTCAGTTAATGAACTCAGATATTCATAAACGCCGTTTCAAGACATATGCCACCTGTCGGGGGGAAAATGTACTAAATTGAATCATATGTACCGGACATACTGTCTTATTATGTATAGTAATCAAGGTTTAAACCTTAAGGCCCAGGAAACTTAATACAATGAATGTTGTAGGTACTTTGCCGGGAAACCTTCACCCAGCCAAATTTCCTGGTATACAGCATTTTCGTAAAAAAACAAATAAAATGTGTGCCATGTCAGCATGGTTTGTGATTTTAATGTTTTGCTTGTATACCCAGGTGCTGGTCATGACCCACTAGAAATACTTAAGGCAGCTACACAGATGATTCAACTGAACTTTGGTATCCAGGAAACCACGATACAGACCGAAGCCTATGAGGAGGAAATGTTGAACTGTACCCAGTGTCAGGATCTCCCGGACTGACCAGTTATAAGCCCCCTAGACTGATCATAAACCATCACCGTAACGTATTTTTAAATCATGGATGAAGAAAATAAATGCAAAACTTTTTCAAGACTGGATGTGTTAGGAGTCAGTTGCATGAGAAATCGAGGCTGTATGTGTGTTCAGATTCACTTAGGATATGGGGAATTTGGACGTTTTATGAGTCTTTTGTATGAGAAATCAAGGCTGTATGTGTGTTCAGATTCACTTAGAATAAGGGGAATTTGGACGTTTTATGAGTCTTTTGCATGAGAAATCGAGGCTGTATGTGTGTTCAGATTCACTTAGGATATGGGGAAATTGGACGTTTTATGAGTCTTTTGCATGAGAAATCGAGGTTGTATGTGTGTTCAGATTCACTTAGAATAAGAGGAATTTGGACGTTTTATGAGTCAGTTGCATGAGAAATCGAGGCTGTATGTGTGTTCAGATTCACTTAGGATATGGGGAATTTGGACGTTTTATGAGTCATTTGCATGAGAAATTGAGACTGTATTTGTGTTCAGATTAACTTAGGATACTGGGAATTTGGACGTTTTTATGAGTCATTTGCATGAGACGTTTTATGAGTCATTTGCATGAGAAATCGAGGCTGTATTTGTGTTCAGATTCATTTAGGGCAAGAGGGATTTTGGAGGATTTGCACTGTATGATCCAAGTTTTAAACCTAACCATGTTTCCCCAAGCAAGAATATCCAGCAGGAAATGGGGTTATTGGCAGTTTTGAAAATCTGCAAAAATGTCATTCAATGATGTCAATATTTGGCTCCACAGAGACATAATGTCATGGCAGCTATACTGTAAACGTACAAATTTTAGTGGTAGTCTTAATTTAGCGTGTTTCATGCTTTTATTATTGTGCTAAATTATGAATGTGCCAATTGAAGTTCGTTGCATATTGTTCTTTACTGCATATTTTCGTGATGTGTCGATTCATCAATGCATTAATCTATTAAAATTCGATAATGTGCTGAAATTTGAACCCCCTAAAATAAGCATGTTTACAGTATCTGAATCATACCCTTGGGTGTATCAGTCAGAAAAATGTGTTTATGGTCATAACGGTCATAAGGTTTTTTTTGTGTGATGTTTTTACTTTTAATGGTTGTTTGAGCCACTGGACCCAGAGCTTTGGAAAATGCAGTTTTAAGATTACTGTATACCAGGAAATTTTTGCCTTTTTTGCCCTCCGTAATGAAGGCAAATTTATCTTTATCGTGAACATAGTGAAAAACATAATACGCCTAATAATTAAATGAGAATGATGAAAGTACACTAGGTGGATATGGATTATTCTGGCAAAGGGCAAACATTTTTCCCAATATACAATAACACCTTTTGACTTCTTTCTCCTCCATTCGTCTGCAATATTATAGTAGCATAGTAGTAATTGCAGCTATTAACTCAGGAACCAGTGGCGACATCAGTCCAAAACAATTTATTTTGGGGGGGGAGGTGTGTGTTTGTATGTGTGTGTGGGGAGGGGGGGGGGGGGCGGGTGGGTGTGTGTGTGTGTGTGTGTGTGTGTTTCAGACTTGTATACTTGTATGCTATATGTACTTGTATTACTGTTGGGCCTATGAGTCGTATGGCTAATAAAGAATCTGAAGCGGACGTGAAACCTATCAATCAATCAATTGCAGCAATAGATAAGGTAGGCTCTGATTGAGGCTTGACGGTAGACTACAGGTGTGGCCTGTCTTTCGGGAAACAAAATAAAAGGACATCATGTAAAAAGAATAATCGTTCTTAGTAGATAATTTGTTGTAAGGGATGTTAATCAGTACAAGTATTTGGTTGTTTTCATAATTTCGCTGTAATACTCAGTTCACTGTCTCGGTCAAACAAAAATTATTTAAATGCATATTCTAAGTTCACGGCTCTGGGTAAACAAAAGTTAAGAAAATGTGTATTGTCAGTTCAGACCTATGTAGACAAAAGTCTTTAAAAAAATATGATGTAATTATATACCGTATTTGACCGTAGATAAGCCCCCACCCCTAGTGAAAAAAAGAAACCAAAATTAGGGAGGGGGCTAATATGTTAAGCTGTATGTATTCTTTGAAATAACTTGAATGTTGCAAATGACAAATTTTCAGTAATTTCAAGCCTCTTTGCTAGACAATCACTAGACTGCCTATGGCATCTGAAATGTCTTTGATCTAAGAAAATACCTGATTATCAGTCACCAGTGGTAGCCAGCACCCCTTTAAATCTGTTGTGTATTGGAAAAGGTTGCTCCCTGGAGGTAGATCAGTTATTCTTGCATACTAGACCGAGATATCCGCATTTCCGGCGGTGCTGGAAAATTCTGTCTGACCCTGGGGTCTGAATTGCTGACATGCACAAATTTGCGGGGGAATGATAGTGACCTTTTTCGGTCACGCTATTGTTCGTGAGGTCATTTTATGACGTTTTTGGGTCAGTCAGGGTCATTGACATCATTAACAATTGCCATTCGGGCTTGATATGCAAATGAGTAAATGTGCGGACAGTTTACAACTTTACCAGAAGAGAAGCTGGTTTGATGGGTTTTAGGTAAATCAGCAAGATATAGAATCCATCCCTGATGTGAGTTATGGATAAGTTTATTCTAACCCTCAGGATAAAATATTGAGCAGAAGACCCCCGGGCAAAGTTAATTCAAACCCTCAGGATAAGATATAAAGCAGAAGACCCTTGGGAAAGCCTGCAGTCTTCTGTTCAATATTTTATCCCTTGTGTTTGAATTACCTTATCAAAAACTCACATCAGGGATGGATTATATTAGTCTAGCCCAGTGCCTCAGTGGATGAGTCCATTCTATATTTTAAGGGTTCAAAGTTCTATGTAACACGTATTCACAATCATACTGTTCCTATGTATTATTAACAGTTTATAGTTCTGTTAAACACAGAATTTCTTATTCTGGGTGCAATCCATCCAGTCTGTTGACGTCTGTGATAATTTTACCTATATTCCTTTACTATAAATCAGGAAATGTTCACAGCAGTTAATTATAAACCTTGAAGTTACCAACCAAGGGCAAAAGGTTAACCCTTTCACCACTGTAGACCATAATGGACCCATCCATACCAATGCATGGTAGAGTCTACTAAAGTTACATAGGGGTGAAAAGGTTAACAGGGTGAAAGTTTCCTGGTATTCAGTACATTCACTTTTTATAAGTATTACTTTTTGTCTTTCTAAGGATCATTTTACTTTTATATTAGTTCTATGTTTTTACGCATGTACTATAAACTGAAATTTCGCTGCAGTTTAACTTTTGCCTTTTACACCCTCTGTAATGAAGAGCAAATTTGTCATAATTGCGAATTGAAATAAATAATATGATATACATATTACTTAAATGTGAAGGGCGAATTGAACACTGGGTAATTATGGATTTTTCAAGTGAAGGCCGAATGTTTTACTGTGTGAAAGTTTCCCGGTGTACATTATATTCACTTTTTACAATTAATGGAACTTTGTGACAAGAATGTGAACTTTAATAATCTATTCTGTAACATTTGCTCATTTCTTTTGCATTTAAAAATGCTTGAAAAGATGAAAAAAAATCCCACCTAGGTATTAACAGTATTGTTTGGTTTCATAGTTTATTGTAAATGTTAAGTTTTTGTTATGTTAAATTTTGGTTCTGTTCATTTTAGGGATCCCTGTGTCTCTGTACTGTGGTTTGTACTAGATACTGTTACCTCCCCTTATCTTCCTTTTGGATATAACCATTATATTACTCATAAAAGTCCTCGAAGGTATTTTTTCTTCTTCAAGTGGGAATTGTATGATATGGAAACGGGCGCAATTTCAATTTAACTGCACTTTTACCTCAAACTTTTATGGACTTGAACTAACATTTTTGTTTCCGTTCAAAATCAGATGCTAAACATTCCTTTTGTGCTCTGATCAAACCATTCCTTTATCTTTTTTTTTAAATGTAGACTTCTTTTTGTTTGTTCATTTTTTCAAACAGACAGTATTTATTGGGAAATGGTGAACATCTGAAAATCACGTGTGTTGTCGGCCCTGAAAGTCATTTTTTGTGATGTAATGAATTGAGCCTGAAAGTGATGCATAATGAAGTATTATAGAACCTGAAAACAGTCTGGGGTATTGAAACTGAAAATGTTACCTGGTTTTGAACCTTGTGATGATATGTGGTGTAACCTGAAATTACTGGTATGTATCGGTACAGAATGTCTGAAGCAGGTTATCTTATTGAATACATTGATTGGGAAATGGGTACTGTAAATCCTAACAGAGATACAGTAAAATCTCAGTATACTACTGCCGACATCGATTTGGAATTTTATATTTGTTAAGGACTGAGCCTTTATTGCGATGCATGTAAATTGACCTCACTTCAGCCGGTCCCAGCCATTTTACTCAAACAGCATTAATCAGTTTCTTCAAGTAACCGAACATTTACTATCACGACTAACAAAATCCCGTTATTTCAATGGTAAACATTGTTACACACACACATCTGGAGCTGTAAGTATAAGTACGACTTGTGTAACATAAACATATAAAATATGACATTTAAACACTTATAGTACTGTGGCGAAACTGCCTGCACCTTTGAGCAAATCCACAGAAGTCTGATGACGTCACAAATGTTGCTGCGTGATGTCATTCAGGCGTGTTTACAACAATGTTTATTTATAGGCATTTCAGTCAAATCTTCTTCTGTGCTGGTGCTCATTTGCATTTCGATACATGTGTATTTGGACAAATTATTAACTATAACCCTTACTAATGTGACAAATTTGCCTGCACTTACGTTAGTGGCAAACGTTCAAACATGAAAACTTCAGAATTGTTATAACATGTTATATTGTGAATCACTAGAAAAAAGGTAAAAAAAAAGTAAAAACGTATATATATATATATATATCTATCTACAACTGTAATCGTATGTTTTCATGATAAGATTTGTAAATATTTATTTTTGTTTTTTAAATGATATGACATTTAGTCATTTCATCAATTAAATAGCTCTTATTTGTATGGAATGACTAGGCTGTGTACAAGTATTTTTGATGATGTTCAGAAAAGTGCCAATTATGTAAACAGCTAGATTTTGGATATGCTTTGCTTTGAGACCCATTAACTGGATGCCAGACTTGTGTGGTTCATATATGGCAACATTGGTATAGAGAAGGCTTTGCAATGTACGCGTCCAGAGTTTGAATCAAATTATTTTCTTGTTTTAGTTTTTTAGCTCACCTGCCCGAAGGGCAAGTGAGCTTATATCATGGTGCGGCGTCCGTCGTCTGTCCGTCTGTCCGTCCGTCAACTTTTCCTTTAAACAACTTCTTCTGAAGAACGGACAGGCCTAGAGTCATGATATTTGGCTGAAAGCTTTGTTGGTAGGAGCCCTACAAAGTTTGAGAACGAAAATGACCTTGACCTACTTTAAAGGTCACAGGGGTCAAATATGTCAAAAACTTCAAACGACTTCTTCTGAAGAACTAAAAGGTATAGAATCTTCAT